CACAGAGCAGAGAGTCTGCTGTATGAACATCATGTTTGAAATCGTTTTCTGCAATTTGGCTATTAACCAAAAGGCTAATTGATTCTTCTGCCCCATTGTAGTTAACATACTAATTCTTCCTAGTAAAGATCCATTTCATTATGCAAATGTAAAAAAAATCACAAGACCGGTGTCTGAGTGAGGGTTGCTTTCTGCAGAGCACTGGTGCACCTGTTCCAGCCCTCAGCCCCCACCTCCACCTCCAAGAGCTGCCAAGCTAGCGGCTTAGTGATCTGGTTTAGCTGGTATGGGGCCCTTGAATTTTGACTCACATTTTCTTTGCGACTTATTCTTGTTTTTGCCGTATAATTTCTCTCCTTCCAGCTCTCAGCATGCCAACAGCAGCTGCATCATGGCACTCACCCTGCTGCCAAGAGGGCAGGCAGCCTCCTTGGAGACTGTAACGTGGTACTAAGCCAACTGTTAAGAGATGGAGGCTGGAGCCATCCATCCAGCACAGCTGAAATTTAGATGGGTTTAGGAGGCATTTGGTAGATTGCTGCTACTGGTATTTTTTTTTTTAACTAAATAAAACTTTCAGAACTTTGATTTAGGAAAAATTTCAGCCTTGTGCAAAGACAGAAGGAACACTGTGGTGCAGCATCCCCGAATGCCTTCCTATCTGCCTCAGCCGTCGTCAGCTCGGCGGAGTCTTTCACTGTCCATGGTTTTTCCCATGGTTTATCCAGACTGCTGGTAGACTTGTTCCCATGGGGTGAATTTATCTTAAAATACAGTTGCTTTTCCATCCCTTTTCAGTCTGTCTGCAGGATGTTTACTCTGCCCTTTCTTCCTAACAGTAAAAGACATTAGAATCTGGTTTTTTGTTTTGTTTTGTTTTGTTTTTTCCTTCTAGGGTAAGCCAAGGTATGCTATTTAGTGATTATTGCTTTTGCTTTCCCGATATTATCGCATGAACTGTTGCTGCTCAGTTGATCTGGTGTCTTTGTGGAGCACAGTCTGAAAGGTATAGGTCCATAGAACAAATTATTAAGACATCATCGGCTTGATTCTCCAGTTCACCAGTGACAATCTGTGTGTATTGAGACATCTTCCTTAAATATCCTGTCTCATTGTCTTACCTTTCACAGTGCACACACCCTGTAGGGCCATGACAAGACATCAGTGAGTGAATGCCTTCAGAGCAGCTTGGGTAGGGCCTGGCACCAGGGACATGTTCAGTACATGATGCTTGCTCTCTTTGTCATTGTCACCATTTTCAATCATTTCGCCTCTTATCACTCATTGTACAGACTGGGGCTGGGGCCCAGATGGCTGCTTTGTCAGGACAACTGGAACAAGATGTAACATATACCAAGTTCTTTATAGTACCACATGGGGTTTGGTATATTCCTGCCCCCTAGGAAACTTTTTGCCAGATTAAGAATGATTTTTTTAAAGGAAATGAGAGGGTTGGTAAAAGCACAACTGGGAATAAATGCTGATGTTAGAGTTAAGCCTTCAAAGTTCTGTGTTTAGAAAGGAGAATGTTAACACTTAGTACTCCACCGCCTTAGTGGAGAGGTGAGATTTCAAGAAGGCCCTTGGGAAGGACAATTTAATTACCGAAACAATGGTATTCTATGCACAAGCAAAAAAAGTGGTTTGTCAGGTGTGGTAACAAAGGCCTTTAATCCCATCACTTGGGAGGCAGAAACAGGAGCATCTCTGTAAGTTTGAGGACAACTTGGTCTACTTAGTAAGTTCTAGAACAGCCAGGGCTATGTAATAACAAACAGAAAGGAAGGAGGAATGGAGAGAGAGAGATTGGTTAGAGTATAAAATGAGCTAATCTGGTAAGGATTTGCTAGTGAGATTGAGATACAAGGACAAAATAAAACTGAAAAGGAAGGGTCTGTTCTTGACAACTGAGCTAAAGAAAAGGAGAAGTTAGATAGTCCAAGACCATTTGCTTATTATTCTGGGCTTTCTACCGCAATAGTCTGATCTAGAACTTGTGCTCATGACTGTTCTACTATTTGATTTTGGGTAACCCAAGCCCTGGCACATATGTAATCTTGAGGATTTTATGGTGCATACAAATGCTACTTCCTTTTCAGTTTTTCCTCACAAGCCAGCACATAGTGAAGCCCTTTACATGTCTGGAATGATTTCATTCTCCACTACTCTGCATGCATCTGGCTGACCCTCGTATACTTTGCATTGAGAAGACCAATTAGGGTTGAATTAGCACCTGTGCCCCACATCCCTGTGTCTGTGTAATAAGCTTTCTCATACAGGGGATAGTATGTTTATTGCATTGCAGATGGAAGAAAGTTCTTTGGTGTTGTATACTATTTTGTAAAATTGTTTTATGAATTAAATAATCTTACATTTATAGGATCATGTTTATGGGTAAGCAGAATAGTACTGTTCTGAAATTATTATACAATATTATTATATAGAAATATTCTCATGAAATTATAAGACCACTATTAATAGGCATGATTGGAAGATTTGTTGATTCCAAGTCACTCCCTAGACTAGTGTTTCTTAAGGTCCTTAATCTAGACTGCTGTGGACACCTTAGGAAGAAAACACTTCCTTTTCTACTGATCTTCCATGAATTTTTTTTCCTTAAAGGCCTTTTTGTTCTCGTTGTAACTATTTTTCCAATCTTATAATAAAAGCGAACATGGAAAGAAGCTTCCCTGGGCACCATACACCTTTCCAAGGGCCAGCTCGTCTGTGCCCATGTACAGTATAGCACCAAGGAATATTCCTCGCCCACACTTTGTCCAGTAGACCTCCCAGCTGCAGACAGAGCTCATACACCTTCCTACTAAAAGCTCTTCTTGATGGCTTCCAGGTATCTCAAGCTTCCACCACCAACTTTCAGTGTTGCTGCCCAAACCTGTTCACATCACCCCTCTCTCCCAGTAACTGGTTGACTCCATCCTTCCCATTGTCAGGCCAAGAACTCTAGATTTATCCTTGACTACTCTCTTGTTCCTACCCCACCTCATTTCACCAGCAAATCCTGTTGAATTTAGACTCAAACTCTATCCAGAATTCAATTATTCCACCTCACCTTTGCTGTTACAGCCTTAGTCAGCGTGACAACTTGTCTGTTCCCAGCTATCTTCTGGATTCACTTATTTGCTACCCTTCCCCCTTGCCCAATGTCCACTGTCAAATAACAACCAGAAGACTCCTAAGATCTCAGCTAGTATACATCTTATGCACTAATACATTCCTAAAGTGTTTTCATCCAATACGTAATGGTAGAGATACATTATAGACACAGAATGTTGACAGAAAGAAGCCCAAAGCAAAAGCTTCTATCCTAAGTAGTAGACATTGAAAAAATCCAAACACAGATGCAGCCATTCAGTACTATTAGAAGTCATGATGGTGACTGAGGGAGGACTAGATTGTGACTAGAAAACAATCCTGTATGCTCTGTATCTTGATCACAGTGCTAACTACACATGTCCATTCGGTTTGTGAGAATTTAGTGACAATGAATGTATCCTGTGTGTATTGTACACTTAATAAAAGGTCTGCTAGAAATGCTGTTTCTCTTATGTAAGATAGTTCTCCTTAAACAAGGAGACAAGCATCTGTCACCATTAGAACCTAAGCTTGGTCTCTGCTTCCATTAGTGCAGTGAACATTCTTGAGCACTAAGTACAGACGAAGGCATTTGGGATACAGCAGTGAGCATGGGAGAGAAAGCCTGCTTCTGAGAGATGATGATTGGAGTGAGTCATAGGACAAGACACTAAGGGCTAGAGACAAAGGCAGAAGCGGAAGAGACAGGGAATGCAGAGCAGAGATGAGAGGGTAGTGTTCAGTTTAAATAAGAAGTGAGGAAAGACCTCTCTCAGAAGGTGACAGATGGGCCAAGACAGGCTAGCTCAGGGCAGACCTGAGAGAAAAGCCTCCTGGACAGAGGAGCAGAAGCAACGAGCTCAGTAGAAACAGCCTGGGAGTGAATAACAAGAGCCAGGCTTTAGTAGAATTGGACAAGAGTTGGCCAGGGCAGGGTAACTGGGGATTACAGGTCAAGGCCTGTTTAAGAGGGGCCTGGTAGATCTGATTTCTGAAGATGAGAATTATTCTGCAATATTGAAGGGTAAGAAAAAGATTTTTTTCTCTGAGATTATTTGCATTACATTTCAGCTGCTCGTAGTAGCAGGCCATCCATTTTCATTGCTATGTACAGACACTTACTTCCTGTCCACTCAAACTATTGATGAGTATTTATAGTTCTGGGGTTTAGCCATATGATGGATGCTGCTTTGACCATCCTAATTAGTGCGTGCCTTTTGATAAAACTATTGGGTCTAAGATAGGCCAATTGAAAAGAAATCAAACAAGGCACTCAATATTTCTTTGAAATTTTGTGCAATAACATGTTGGTTCCAGCCCATACTCATGGTGCACACTAAAGGCAAACCTCAAGTGTGTGTCATGACAGACCAGTACATTGTGTCAGGCAAGGGCTGCAGAGACATGGAGTACTTGGCTTGAGGATGCTAGCTAGCATCTGCTTTAAGGTAGAATGCAAATAGAGTAGCCACGAATGAAAGCACACACCAGAGCACCTAATGAGAACTTGGGCAGTTTGCCTCATAGGTGTTCCAAAGTGGGCAACTCTGATACGACATTTCACAGTGAAGCTGAGCACGGAGCAGAACCTGAAGGCACCCCTGGGATTGGTGGGAGCAGAGACAGGCTCTGGAGAGACCTCAAGGTCAGGGAAATAACAAGAATGAATTTTTGTTTAAGGGAACTATGGGTGGCCACTCTGAGTAAGAGCAGACTATAGGAACTTGAAATCTTGTAGAGATTTGGATGGATTTATCTCTCAAATGGGTAAATGCTTGTGTTCAAATCTGGCAGTATTTATATATTACTCATCCCCCAGGCTTTTTGATGTCCTGATACCACATTTACCATTACCAAACCTCACAGTTCATATGTTCTAAATGTTTTAAATATATATGTATTTTTAGACCGGCAAAGAAGACACATCCAGTGTGACTGTAGCAGGTCCCGAGACAGGAAATGAAGCTGGCCAGACACTGGAGAACAACTCCCTAACAGCTGAGCTCCTGAGTGACGTGCCCTTCACCTTGGCTCCACATGTGCTGGCCGTGCAGGGCACCATCGGCGACCTTCCTGACCACTTACTCTCATACGATGTCGGCGACAACCTGTCCCGATTCTGGTATGATTTCACTCTTGAAAATTCAGTACTCTGTGATTCATAGTCTTTGTGTCTGTGCATACCTTAACAGCTTGAAAAGAAAAAAAAAGTTTGCCTATTTTATTGAACCCTGTTTGATGTTCCTTGTCATTTCACCCTTGAAGGCCTGGAGGCAAGCCAGGATCATAAAATAACATCGTGTTCGTGGGTTTACTCTTCAGAATAAAGTGATTTTATACAAAAATTGATAGCAACAATTTAATAAAGGGAACTCACTTTGGAAAAGAATAAGAATTCAGACTGCCTGTGTAGATAGAAAAGTGAAGCTGTTGAGATTGTAAGAGAGGCACAGAGTATTTTTGCAGCCTCTGAAGACACAAGACAGAAAGAGAAACAAGGCTTTCCTCTGGATACCAAGACTCCAAAATCGGAGCTTAGAGGGAGTGTGAAGGTGCTTTTGGGATTCAGAGGAAGTTGTGATGTTACTCCCTTAACGGCTTCCACAATGTTTGGGAATGGGGTCAAAAGAAAGCTTCCAGTTAACATAATTTTTTCAGTGTCAGTTTAGACAAACTGATAGGGAAATTTGAAACTTCTCATAAACATCATTGATTATCATTTGCTAATTCAAGAATGCTGTGAAGGGGACACTGTGGTTTGCTTAGACAGACCCATGTGGCCCTCTCCAAGCTCCTGAAGGACGGCTCTGTCCCTCCTTGTTCCCTTCACATTCCCTCTGGGGATTCTTGGACCAGTTTTCAAAGAGTTTTCCCCACTTCTGCCTCAGTTGGTTTGTCTTCCTTACCACATATGTTCCCAGTTTATGAGATCTGCATTTCCTTTTGCCTCCTCTGCCTCCTAATGAAAACATCTCATGATGATACGTATCATTGCTGATAAGACTTGTTTAGGGATTTGTTGGCTGCAGTACAGATGGCGGTGTTTAACTGGTAAACATACTCGGTTTCACTACTTTCCACTTAGAGTGTAGGCAGACACCCAAATATGACTTGTCCTTCTTGAATATCCATTATTTATCCTAAATAAAATTAGGCAGGACTGCCATTAGCCAATGAACTACACAAGATTTGGTAAATAATAACAGGAGACTTTCTATGCCATGAAAAAGTTGTCATTTCTTTTAATTAGTTATAATTTATTGATCCTGTGCCAAAGTTTTAAGTATATTTTTTTCACAAAGAGAGTATCAGGAAAACTAAACACTGTGCAGAAAAGTACAAGAATTATTTTATTTTTAATGTGCTATGCATGTTCATTTAGTAGGTGTGGTGTGGTCTTGATAAAGAGGTCTGAGTTATTTTAAGTTAAAGGAACATTTGTACTGATAAAAATGTACTTCATTTACAATTAACATTACCATGTGAAGTTAATGATTTAAGTTAGGTCTTTACCTAGTTTTCATAAAGCATCTACATAGGAAATATGCCTTATTATTGACACAAATGTGAACATTTTGTAGCACTTTTTGTGAAGGTACAATCCTTTTCAACTATCCATGTTAATGTATTTTCAAAATGTAATGTAAAGAGGTAGTTTTTTTGTCTAAAATATGTGAAAATTTATATAGTTATGCATTTCATTTATATTTATGTCTACCATATTATAAATGTGCTTATAAAAACTGTTTGTCTACAATTATATTTTAAGAATGTGAAATACATGTTTAAAATAAATGTTTTGATTGTTTTCATATCCACAAAATGGCATCCATTGTATCATTAATATCTAAATGCAAGTTATAGATTCTATAGAAGGCAAAGAATTAAGTATATTGTTTGTGTAGAGAACACTACATCTTCTCTTATGCATAAGCTGTGGGAACATTGAAAATGGTAAGCTTACTAGTCCTGGCTAATAAATTAGACTGAAAGGAGTTGAGAGAAATGGATGAATATCTACATAGATCTCCATCATCAGAAAATTTAGTAAAGACCAGTAGTGTTAATTACCTCATTTTGACAAATACATTGTTAAGTTGGTAATTTGTTATTCTGTATATAAATCATGCAATATTTTAACACTAGAACAAACATTATAAATCCACCAGCCAACTCCATATTAGAAAACTGAGAACTAGAAATTTAAATGACTTAAAACACCTAGTTAGTAATATTTAATTGAATAGTAGTCAGTGCCCAAATGAGCTGAACAATGATGACACCAATGAGCATGGCATCCTGGATAGAGAAAAGACCATGAACTTCTGACAACTGAGGAAGGCTAGGAGCAGGAGAAGTGGTCTTCCTCAGGAAAGAGCACACCAACTGGTTGTCCAGTGCCAAACACTCAACCCTGAAAACATACATACAAGCAGTATTTTATGGACTAAATAGTTTATATTTGTGTGTGTGTGTGTGTGTGTGTGTGTGTGTGTGTGTGTATACATATATGCCTGCAATAATAGTTTTTTGTTTTTTGTTTTTTGTTTTTTTTTTTTTAAGGCCATGGATTTGAAGGAGAGTTGGGAGGGCTACATGGAAGGTCTTGGAGAGAGGAAAGGAAGGGGAGAAATGTTGTAATTAAATTATAATCACAAAACTTTAAAAATACGTAAATACACTAAAACAAAGCTGGAGCATATGCAGGAAAGAATTGAGACACTAGAGGCAGCCAGGGAGTCAGTAATGACTCCTGTTCTAGCTGAAGGACTTTGAGTCTGTTCCCTCACTTCTGGTGCCCTCTGTTCCCATGCTTGTTAACTGTGAATTTCCCATACCTTGCAGAGTTACGTTGAATAGTAAGAGATAACTGATAATGCCCAGTAGCCTAATGATTAATGAGCCTTTGACTGACAAAGGGACTGTTCTCATTCTTTACACACACAGTTCTCTAACATGATGGGAAGTATATATTTTGTGGCCTACTTCTGACTAAAATTAGAATGATCTACCCTTATTCATTTTAGACTCCACTCCCCTCTATAATGTCAGGGTTCTCTTCTATCTCCACTAAAGCTCCATAGCAAACACTTAACTTACTATCAAAGAGCATTGTCTTCCTCCTGTGCTGGACGTCACTACAGGGTTAGAACATGTGACTTCCACTGAATCTTGATTTTAAACCTTAATGTATTTAGGAAGTCACATGTGTTTTTCTAGCTTTCTTTAATGCCATTTGCACTCTTTCCTTTAAAAGCAATTTGTTATTTAGTTAATTTATTTATTAGCTCAACTTTTCAAATTGTGCAATTACAGTGTTAACAAAATATAATTCTTGTTAACAATTCTAGTAGTTTTTTATAAGTAAACATCTTTGATACTGCCTTTTTAATCCACCCTCAAATAAAAGAACTGAAAACATTATGAAGAAATGCTCTGTTTTTCCAGAAACATAATTTCTTATCATTCTGATGGATAGGAGAGGCCTATCAGGGAAATAATCCCATTTCCAGTGTGGAATAGGGTTGCTATCCCTTGCCTGCCTCCTGGGAGCAGCTGCTCGGTACACGAATGCTGCCATGGGTTATCTGACAGACACAAAATGTTACTTTCAGAGATTAACGTGCCGCCTTATCGCTCTTGTCCCGAATAACAGCCACATGCAATGTACTCTCGTACTGGAGGAAGCTGAAGGATGTCGCATCTTTTCAAGCCACTGAGAACTGTGGGTTCTTGGATGTTATCTTTGAAGCATTTGTGACACATTACTGAGGGCATGACCCAACTATTCCTGAGAAATCTAAGACTCCAAAAATAGGTCTGACTACATTTGGCTTTAAAGATGGAATATTCTTGTTTCAAGAAAGTTACTCATGCCATATGGCTTGGCGAATAGATGTGTGGAAGCAAAAGAAAAAGGAAATGTATTGATTGATACAAAGGAACTCTATTATATCAGCATAGCAGAATGGTACATCTTTTAAATGTGAACAACTATAGTGGGGCGTAATTAATGCGTACCACAGAGGAGTCAAAGCAAGTTTGACCAACAGATGTTTTAATAGGAGAGTACTCATAAGATGAAGTCAGTCCCCTACAACCAGGCAAACCATGGAACACAGAGAGCCGCCTGCGTGCGACCCTCATATTTAAGGTCTTGCTACGTCACTGACCACGCCCTAGTGTGCCTGGTCTGTATCACCTGTGCCAGCCCCAAAGAGGATGTGGCTAACATTTCCGTTACAAATAACCTTTTTCTTTAAAGCAATTTTACATCCATAGAAAAGCTAAAAAGATAAGTAGAGTTCCTCACATGTCCCCTCTTGTTGACATTTGTCACAATCAAGGAACCACAGTGTTAAGATTTTGTAGATGTCTTTTAGCACCTCCCTCCTGCCATGCTTCCTAGTGTGATTTAATATCTACTCTTTCTCTCATGATGATTTTCAGCAGTTTCTCTGGGAATTTTTATCCTAAACTGACAGTTTTGAGAAATACTGGTCAAGTCTAGTAGACTGTCTCTCTGTGGTGGTTTTTAAAGATTGGCCCTAATAGGCTCATATACTTATTTAAATGTGTAGGGAGTGACAGTATTTGAAAGGATTAGGAGGTGTAGCCTTGCTGGAAAAAGTGTGTCACTGGGGGTGACTTTGAGGTTACAAAAGCCCAAGCCAGGCCCAATGGCTCTCCCTTCCTGCTGCCTGCAGATCCAGATCTAGAACTCTCAGCTACTTTTCCAGTATGATGCCTATCTGCATGCTGCCATGCTCCCAGCCATGAGATTAATGGACTAAAACTGTAAGCCTCTGAAACTGTAAGCCAGCCCCAAATAAATGCTTAAAAAAAAAAAAGTTGACAAGGTCATGGTGCTATTTCACAGCAATAAAACACTAAGTTGGCTTAATCTGTTTCCATATAGAAGTTTCCATATGGCAAATGCCTCTCTTTAATGCCAGCACTCAGAAGTCAGAAGCAGGAAGATCTCTGGATTCCAGGTTAGCCAGGACTACACAGAGAGACCCTGTCTCAAAAAAAAAAAAAAAAAAAAAAAAAAAAAAAAAAAAAAAAAAAAAAAAAAAAAAAAAAAAAACAAAGCAAAACAAAAATGACGAGTATGACATCACCTTTCAGTGAGAGCATGTCATACCAAGAGTAGATGCTGTAAACACAACCCTCCAGGGTTAACCTGGACCACCTGGCAAACAGAGAGTTTTCCGGTTTCTCTGTCATGCTCAGTTCCTCATTTTCTCATGCCTCTGAGTATCCTCTGCTCTTCAGAACCAAATCACAAAGCACAGCCCTTACTCCAGGAACAGGGACTTAAACACCCGTCTTCTTGTGGGGGTGGGGGGTGCTGCTAGTACATAATTATTTGGACTACTTCTGCATTGGAGATTTGTCTTTTCACCCAATTTACTTTTCTTACCAATTACTTACATTGGCGTGACTTCATGAATATTCTGCCTTGTGTCCAAGATTAAATTAGTGGTGGCTAAGGGACATATGTACATTTTTGCAGGTGTTAATGAAATTTGAAACATTTTACATGAGGACCATCTGATGTTGGATGTCATGCTCTATTTTATAGTCCTTTTCCGGTAAATATCAAGTATGTGTATCCTTAACCTGCCATGACTGTAACTGTGTACACAGTCACGAGTCACATGAGGACATTTGAGTCAATAACAGGCTGCACATATGGTGGTTGTCTCATAGGATTATAATGGAGATGAAAGAGCCCTACTGCTTAGCGTTCTCGCTCTGCCTCTTCTCTTCTTAGATGTGTACAGATAATGCAACGATAGTTGTGTTGCAAATATTCAGTGGAGTAACATGCAGTTTGGGTTTGTAGCTTAGTTGTGCAGCAGACTCTACCATGTAGTTTTCTCTCAGTACAGTCCGTGATGATCACATGATGAGGTCACGTGGTGGCCCATGACTCAGACCACATCCCGACCCAGGACTATACATACAGAAGACCTCACATAAGTGCTGCATCGTAAATGGAAGGCTGTATCCCACCCCTTGCCTAAGATGGTCCTACCACAGACGGTTGGTAGGTAGGTAGGTAGCCATTCTAAAGCAAATGCTGTGGACATGAGATGACAGAGTGGTCATTTTCCTCCCTAAGGAGCCAAGAAATGTCATGACACCCAAGCTCTTCTCTCTGATACGTGCTATTTAGTTTTTGTAAAGTAGCAGTGTGGCTCCTTAATTGCTAAACTTATACCTCATCTTCAGCCTGCACTGGGTTACTTAAGGAGAAGGGAAAGGAAGTTCTCCTAAAAAGAGAGAGAGAGAGAGAGAGAGAGAGAGAGAGAGAGAGAGCGCAAGAAACTCTGCTTCTGACGAATGAAAACTTGCTGTGCTAAAACAACATTGCTCTCATCCAATTTTACTTATTTCGTCCTTGAAAGAAACCTGCATGTAGTTCTTTGTCAAGAATTTGCCCAACCCCAATTTTCACCCTTACAAAGGAAACAAATTCCTCACAGTCAAAGCTAAAACAAAGGATAATTGCACCCAGAACGCCCATCCACAGCTAACTCTGAACTGGCCACAGGCTTGGCACTCACCTCGAATGCAGAAAGGGACCACTGGCCTCAGCTTAGCACTACTGCCACAGAAGGACAGTCCAGAGTGGCCACAGCTATAGACAATAACCCTAAAGGGTTACATGGCTGAGGAGGACTGCCCAGCGTGGATTTCATTGTCGCTGTGTGGCTTTCCTTTCTATCTTGCTTTTGAAGAGATGCATACTTTATTTTGTTTTTAAGTTACTGTATTTCCACATAATAGCTAAGAACATTTAGGAAGCTAATG